TCGGCCAGCGGCGTGCGACGCACGTCGAGGGGCATCCTAGCGCCAGCCGTGCACTGGGGTCAGCGCCGATCAACCCTGTCTCATGGTGAGCAGAGGAGCTGGGGCCCAGGGACCCCCGGGGTGACACGGCCCGTGGGGTCAGAGCTGGACGTGGCTCCCGGCCGCAGCGTTGGGACTCTCAGTGTTGGGGGCACTCTGGGGACCCCCCTGAAGCCCCCAGGGCTGGCCCGGGCCCCAGCATTGTGTGAATGTCCCCTGGCAATCAGCTGAGAACCGTTGTTCTGGCCAGCACAGGACATGACAGTCCCCACTGGCCGCTCACTGCCCAATGGGCAGGGGTGGGGAACGTCCGGCCCCAAGGCCACACAAGGGCCCTGAAATCCCTCGGTCTGGCGCTGCCCAGCAGCTGCGGGAGGGACTCAGAATCCAGCAAACGTAGAGCAGGCTGATGTTGACGCTGGTGACTGCATGTGGGCCGCGAGTGACGCTGTGAATACCCACGCGGCCCTGGGCAGGACGCATGCTCCCCACCCCTGGACTGGCGGCTAGGGATCGGGACTGCTCCACCCCTGGCCTCCCGCTTGGGAATACGCTGCTTGGCACATCCTTTCCAACTGAATCCCCTTACAACGCACGGCACGGACGTCCGGCCTGAGGATCCACTGCACGGCACGGACGTCCCGCCTGAGGGTCCACTGCACGGCACGGACGTCCGGCCTGAGGATCCACCGTACAGGCAGGCACCGCCCACCCGCGTGTCAGTCAACCACACGGTGTCTTGTGATGACGTCACGGAGGGCGTCTGCGTGAGTGCGCTCTGTGATGGCCACACCACGACGCAGACGGCGGCCCCTTTGGAGAGGGCGTGTGACTGTCACTAGACACAGAAACTCAACTCCAAGGCGTTGAAGATGTTTAAAGCGTCCGTGAGTGTCCAGGAGACTGGCAGCATTGTCCCCAGGCAGGCGGGGGCGGGCGGGGGGGGCGGTGAGGCACACGCCCAGGGCTCATGATCACCGGAGTGGTTGACAGCCCACAGAAATGATGTGCCACCCCTTTAAGAGGAGGGGGCAGTGCCTGACAGCTCAGGCTTCTGTCAGCCACACTAAGCCTTTATGCCAACTTCCTACTTCCACACACACGGCCACCATCCGTTGTTCTGAGAAACACTCGGGGCCCTCAAAGTTGTTCCTCCCCGTCTCCCGCTCCCTTTGCAATGTGATTTTACGGCTCAAAAGCTGGCATCTTCCCCTGGGTGGCTGTCGGGACCCTCAGGGGTGGCTGTCAGCAGGAGCCTCTGTCCCCCACCTGCTGCAGGGTCTCCCAGCCCAGGGCCTCTGTCCCCCACCTCCTGCAGGGTCTCCCAGCCCAGGACCTCTGTCCCCCACCTGCTGCAGGGTCTCCCTAGGTCAGGAGCTCCTGTCCCTGGCACCTCCTGCAGGGTCTCCCAGCCCAGGGCCTCTGTCCCCCACCTCCTGCAGGGTCTCCCAGGTCAGGACCCTCTGTCCCCCACCTCCTGCAGGGTCTCCCAGCCCAGGGCCTCTGTCCCCCACCTGCTGCAGGGTCTCCCAGCCCAGGACCCTCTGTCCCCCACCTCCTGCAGGGTCTCCCAGCCCAGGGCCTCTGTCCCCCACCTGCTGCAGGGTCTCCCAGCCCAGGACCCTCTGTCCCCCACCTCCTGTAGGGTCTCCCAGCCCAGGGCCTCTGTCTCCCACCTGCTGCAGGGTCTCCCAGCCCAGGGCCTCTGTCCCCCACCTCCTGCAGGGTCTCCCTAGGTCAGGAGCTCCTGTCCCTGGCACCTCCTGCAGGGTTCCTCCTCAGCTCACAAGCCGGGCAGACAGGGAGGTGGGGTACACAGGCTCAGGAAGGCTGACACAGATTCCCACGCTCTCCAGTCCCCCCTCCTCCCACACGTGCAAAGGACGAGGAGGTGAAGGGGGACGGCACCCTGTGCAGGTTCAGCCGGGCTCAGGTGCACGGGGAGGGCAGCCCTCACCGCAGCCTGGCACCTCTTTTTTGCTAGCAAAGGACCACTTTGGAAAGTCCAGCTTCTGGGGAAAAACACCAAACCCATGTGTAGTGAGGGCCATTACAGAAAGAAAAAAAAACAAAACCCGAATCGGGGCTGGCGTGGGGGCACAGCCACTGAAGCCACCGCCTGGGACGCCCGCATCTCATATCAGAGTGCAGGCTCGATTCCCAGTTGCTCTGCTTTTGATCCGGCTTCCTGGGCAAGCGCCTGGGCCAGCAGCAGCAGATGACCTGAGTGCTGGGCCCCTGGCACCTGCGTGAGACGAGGCCGCAGCTCCAGGCCCCTGGCTTCAGCCTGGCCCAGCCCTGCCTGTCGCCGCCATTTAGGGAGTGAACCAGCCCACGGGAAGACCTTGTCCCTCTACCTCTTCCTCTCTTTCTCTCTCTCTGTTGCTCTGCCTTTCAAATAAATGCTATTTTAATGTGAAGTGCTTGGTTTGAAAGCTGACTTTCAAAGGAGCCAGCACATGGGAGATTTTCCTATTCTGTGATTCTATTACAAAAAGTCAAGTTTAGTTTTGTTGAAAGCCTGAGATGCAGAGAACAGAGGATTGCAGCGGCCTGCGGTCCTGTACCTCAGAGCCGCTGGTTTCATTCTGGCCAGCCCCCTGCTGCCGCGGCATCTCTCGGCCGTGTGCGCACGCGGTACAGTGCGCTGGGCTGGACTGCCCAAGGCACGTGTGCACCTCACAGCAGCACGAGCCTCGGCGTACACGGCTTACGCCCTGCTGTTCTGAGTGACACGGAGTCAGGAGTCTTGTCAAGGACGCTCAGGGGGGCCGGCGCCGTGGCTCACTTGGTTAATCCTCCTCCTGCAGTGCCGGCACCCCATATGGGAGCCAGGTTCTAGTCCTGGCTGCTCCTCTTCCAGTCCAGCTCTCTGCTGTGGCCCGGGAGGGCAGTGGAGGATGGCCCAAGTGCTTGGGCCCTGCACCCGCATGGGAGACCAGGAGGAAGCTCCTGGCTCCTGGCTTCAGATCGGCACAGCACCGGCCGTAGCGGCCATTTGGGGGGTGAACCAATGGAAGGAAGACCTTTCTCTCTGTCTCTCTTACTGTCTAACTCTGTCAAATAAACAAAAAATTAAAAAAATAAAAAAGGATGCTCAGGGTTGCATGCTAAACAGAGTGGGACCCTCGGTACCCACGGAGACCGAAGCTGAGAGCGCTAAGGCCAGGGCCGACCCCAACGGGTTCCGGGGCTTGTTGGGGGGTGGGGGCGCAGAGAGAACGCCCCAGCACCGTCACTGCCTCGCGGTCCTCCAGGGAGCGGTGTGCAGCCCCGAGTGCCCCGCCCGAGACTGCACCGAGAGTTACTAGGACAGCTTTGCAAAGCCATCAATCAGGTCCGCCCCTAAGTGATTATGACCCAGCAGGAAGGCAGGGGGCCGGGCCTGTATTTACAGGGAAGCCCACCACCCTCCAGACACACCCAGGGGACGCCGAGGCAGGTGCAGTCTGGCCAAAGCGGGCAGCTGGTGCTGTTCTCACCGCGGGCTGTGCCGACAGCACTGACCCGTTCTGTTCTTGGACGGAAATGCTCACCCATCCCTTCAGCCTCAAGGCTCCCTTACTTCTTAAGATTTCTTTATTTGAAGAGTAGAACAACAGAGAAAGAGAGAGAGAGAGAGAGAGAGAGAGAGAGAGAGTCTTCCAGCCACTGGTTCACCCATCAGTGGCCACAGCAGCCACGGCTGAGCCCAAAGGCAGGAGCCTGGACCTCCACCCTGAGCTCGCACATGGGTGGCAGGGACCCAAGCACTCGGGCCGTCACCTGCTGCCCCCTCAGGCACATTAATAGGAAGCCGGACTGGAGGTGGGGCAGCCAGGACTCAACACGGCCCTGCAGCGTGGGCTGCCGGCGTCCGCGCGGTGACTTGACCTGCTGCGCCAGGACTCCAGCCCCTGACTTCTCACTCCTGGGCCTCCCTCTCCCGGGCGCGCTCCTGCCCTTACGCTGAAAGCATGTGTGTACCTGGTCCGTGCGCGTTTTGGTTCTACACCGTTGATGCTATGCGGCTCAAAATATCCACCTTGCATGCCCAGCCGTACAGTGAGGGCTGCGCTGCTGTGTGACCGCCTGTGTGCAGTGGCTGGGGACGCTGTGCGACCAGGCTGGACGCTTCCAGTGCTGCCTTGTCACCCTCAGGCATCACCAGGACCCAATGGCCCCAGCACGGGCTCCCCAGCCCTCCCCCCAGAGGGACAAGCCCCCCCCACCCCGTTCCACAGGTTCCTGTTCCCCGCCAGACCACGACCCGGTTCAAATAAGCGACCACGGCTCCTGCAGGAACCAGGGCGGCTCGCCCCCTTGCTGCTGCCGAGTCTGACGCCAGCCACCTTTGTTCCCACGGGCAGCCCCAGGCGGCCTGCGTGCCGGGTCCCCCCCTCCCTAGTTGCTGCCACCACTGCATCTGTCCAGACTCTGGGGGGTACGGGGCCCACCCCTCCCCAGCAGCCTGAGCAGGACACACGGGTGCTCCCTGAACGCACGTTCACGGCTAAACCTGGGGCAGACTCCAGACAGCGCCTCTGTCTCGAGCCCGTGCACGGAGGGTGGGAGCACCGGGGCTGGCCGTGGGCCGCGGGGCCGCCGGGCCCACTCCCCATCCTGCGGACACCGAGGGAAACCAGCGCGCCGTGAGTCACATTCTCCCTCAAACTGAGCAGTCCGCCCGGCTGGCGTGCGGGGCTGTTTGTCGCACCACACGTGCCACACGCGCCGGAGCAGCCTGCTGCCTCCCACTGCTCTTTCCCAGACGCAGCTCGCTCGGCAGCACGTGTGCCAAGGGCTGGTGTTTACACAATCTGGCTCTCCTCGGACGCATGTGGGAACGCTGCAGGGGTGTTTTAAACGCCCAGGGAACGTCACGCTGCTCAGGACCGAGCAGGCAGTGCAGAGACAGCCGGGGGCGAGCAGGTGGCGCAGGGCGCAGGGCGAAGGGCGCAGGGCGCAGGGCGCAGCCTTACCCTTGAGCGTGGCCTTCTTGAGGACTTTCATGGCGTACAGCTGCCCGGCGTCGGAGCCCTTGACCTTCCGCACCAGGAACACCTGCAAGGGGAGAGCGGGACGCCTGAGACCGCGTGGCTCCCAACACCTTTTCCTGACTGGAGTTGCCGGGGGCAACGGAGATGAGAGGAAGGCCCCCAGAGAAAGGAACACGCTGTGGGGAGCCGCGGCTTCTCCAGCTCCGTGTCCCTGCCGACGGCCGGGGTGGGCAGCGTCGGGGGCTGCAGGAGCACCACCCTCGGCTGTGGGCGCCACTCCCGTCCCACTCGATACCACGGCAGCACCGTCACCCCGTCTGGGACCAGCTGTTAAGGGGTTTGCAGGGACTTTGCTGGCTCCTTTTCCACGGCGCTGTGAATCCCCACGGCAGGGACCACGCACAGGTACTGCCGACCACGCCCGTCAGGCTCCTTCCGAGTTTCAAGATGAACCCGTCTGTTTTGGAACTGTCTTCACTCAAAGTTCAGCGGCTTGGGTTTACGGAGTTATCGCCCACCTGCGTCCTGGGTGTTCTGTGGGCGTCTGACAGCCCTTTCTGAAGCACTTTTTTTTTTGTTTGTTTGTTTGTTTTAATGTGCATCATGGAGGAAAACAAAACAGGAAAGATAACTGGGAGACGTTCAGTTTAAAATTGGATCAATGGTCTCCCAACAAAATTAGCAAACAAAACGCAAGGAAAACCCGGAGTGTGGTTTACAGCCACAATCTGCACACAGAGAATGACCGGGGCAGGGCCGTGTCCGGTTGTGGGGGGGCTTCCTAGCAGAGGTGGTCTCCCTGCAGGGCACCGGGCCCAGACGCCTCCCGTGCAAGCCTCACAGGTAGGCACCAGGCCTCCGGCTCCAGGCAGCCCCTGTGGGCCCACGTGTCCACGGAGCCAGCAGGTGAGTGGGAGGCAGTGTGAGGGCTGCAGCCTCCTGCTGGCTGTGTCAGTGTGGTGACAACTCCTGCCCTGGACGAGAGAGAACATTCGGGACCTTCCTGAGCAGGGCCTCCCAGAGTGGAGGGAGGCTGGAACAGGCCCGCAGGCCCGAGTGCCCCTTGTGGGGACACAGTAACGGGGGTGGGTGGGGAAGACACATGGACAAGACGCAGCTCCATGTTTGCACCCTGTGCCCTGCAGGTGCCCACTGCCTCCTGCCCCAGCTCAGTCCCCAAGCATCCTGCCGGTCGCTGTCACCGCTCGGTCACAGTCCCTTCTCAAATGGGAAGCACCACGTCCACGAGGACACATCCCGCTCCTCTGCCCAGGGAGAAGTGCGGCCCAGCGCGGCAGCGTGGTGTTGTCCTGGGCGGCAACACCCTGCTCAGGGCATGCGTCAGGTCTGGGAGAACCGCGGGCAACCAGCAGGGGGCTCCCGAAAGGCCGTCGCCACGAATTCGATCAGCTGCTGGGGCCTCCTGCAGCTCGGGCAGCAGGCCTGCGTTCCAGGCAGGGCAGCAGGGCGCGGCCCAGCCTCACACACCAGCTGCCCAGCATCCTGCCTCCTGTGGGACCCGGCTCCGGGGCCGCCAGGAACAGCGTGCTGCGGTCCTGGAAGTCCCTGCAGGAGGAAGGACTCCGGTCAGGCAGGCAGGGGTGCGGCAGCCCTGGCGAGAGGGGCCGGATCCCAGCTGCTGCCGGGACTGCTTCCAGGCAGAGCGGCCAGCCCCGCCCCTTAGCTCCAATGGCACCTGGGGCTGCGGCAGGAGGTGCGGCCAGGAGCCCGGGGATGAGCACGGATGGGTGGTCCCAGAGAGGCCCGTGGAGGGGACTGAGAGAGAAAGCTGGGCCCTGGGGTAGGAAAAGGGGGCAAGGGGCGGACGGGGCTGCTGGCCAGCAGGTGCCATGTTTCCACCGGGCGTGGTGCAGGGCAGGGAAACCCTCCTGGGCCAGAGCACAGGAACTGGCACAGGGCGTTCCAGCTGCTGGTCCTGCCCTGCGATGGGGCGGGCCCCGGTCACCGCGGATCAAGCGCACGGCCTCAGCTTCAGCCTGGGGCTGTCCCGGCTCTCGCCAGTTCCAAGGCTGCCAGCTTCTGACCTTTCGCACTCTGTGACCTCGTGAGCCAACATCCCCCGCATCCCGGACACCCAGCACACGCACACACGCACGCATGCACGCACGGGGCTGGCCTTGCTCTCGTGGACCTGACATCTGTCACAGGGCTCCACGCCCACGGATGCACTGAGGCTGTCCTCGCAAGGGGGCTTTGTTGCGGAAGCAAGCTCTCTGGCTCCGCCCTGGGCCCCTCACCGCGGCTGTGACGCGGCAGAAGGCTCCCGTCACGTGCTCAGCAGGTGCCGGCATCAGGCCGTTGGGCTGCCGCGCCAAGGACCCAGTGTGCACATTCAGTCACGCTCAGAGACACGCGGAACAGACCACGGCAGAAGGCATGACCGCAGTGAGCCATCTCGACCACGGCAGTGTACACGGACAGCCACGTCCACGCGCACAGCCACCAGTCACCACCTGAGGTAACGCCCAATTTGCACAGGTATTTACCAACAAAACATATTTTATACTTGAAAAATGAGACAGCCGGGGCGGCCATTTGGCACAGCCATTGAGACCTCCCTTGGGACACCTGTACCCCGCACCGGGGTGTCCAGGTCCAGCTCCCAGCTCTGCTCCTGGTTCCAGACCCTCCTGCAGACCCTGGGAGACAGCAGGTGACGACTCCGTACTCCTGTCCCTGCCGGCCACGCGGGAGACCTGGATTGAGGTCCTGGCTGTTGCAGGCACTGGGGAGTGAACCGGTGGGGGAGTTCTCTGTCTCTCTCTCCGCCTTTCAAATAAATAAAACGAATTTTCTGAAAAACGAGACGGCCGCTGGGTGAAGCTGCAGCTTGTGCTTCCGTGTTCCTGGCAGAACAGGAGGAGCTCACTCTGTCCATGTCCACGGGGTGCCTGCCACGTGCCGGGCACTCCCACGTGGCTGCAGCAGGGGCCGCCCTGCGGTCAGCAGCGCTCCCGCCAGAAGACAGCAGCCCTTGAGACGGACAGCAAAGCGCAGGAACACGGAAACGCAGCGGGGAAGGCGCGCGGCCACGGGCTTGGCGGGCGCCCAGCCTTCCCCGCCTCGCTCTGACCTGCTTATGCCATTCAGGCCCCGGTCCCGATGCACTGGAGAAGGTTCTGACCGTTCTAGCAGCTGGCGGCGCTGGCTCTTTAATACTTAATCTCGCCGGCCTCCTGTGTCTCCCGCGTTTCATTTTTAGCAGCTTCTGCAGTAGCCACTCAGCACGCGGGGCAAAGCCGCAGAGGCACCGGCGCTCCCCGCGCTCCCGCGCTCCCGTGGCTGCGCGACACGACCCTGTTCTCTGAGCAAAATCTTCAGCTTTGGAACCTGGCATCTGTCTGCAGAGCCCGCCGGGGAACGAGCCTGCCGGGCGGAGGGCACCCGGGGACACGGTGTAACCACACCCCCAAGGGGACAGTGCATGACCCAGGCTAACAAGCCACCTCCCCACCCCATGAGTCAGACAAAAATAAGGATTTTTTATTTCCCTTGCCCCCTTCTCAGAGTGTGGGAGTCACACCCACAGAGCATTTCCCAGGTTTGATGGAAACGTGAAGGTCCCCTCCGCCCCAGCCCTTCCCTCGGACAAGCCCAGGGAGCACCCCCCGCCCCCGCGGGCCCCTGCAGCAGGAGGCCGACACGGCTCGCTGACCCTGCTGCCCCACGGCTTGCCCGGTGCGACGCTTACATTGCTTCTGTTCTCGGGGAGCAGGCTTAGCCGCATCTTTCTCTTGCCCACCTCCACAGCGGCCCCGCTCTCCCGATGTGGCTATAACCGTGACGGCGACCTGGCTCACCGCGTGTGCAGGACACTCGGGCTGGCACACGTGTGCTCTGCTCAGGGTGCCCGAGAGATCTCGCGGCAGGAGGCCCGCGCTCTGTGCCCAGCGCTGCTGGTGGGGACAGCCCTGTGCCCCTGTGACAGGGACAGCCCTACACTCCCGTGACGCAGACGGCCCTACACTCATGACAGTGACAGTTCTATGCATTGTGACAAGGGCCCTTCATGACTTCTGCGGCAGGGACTGTTTTTTCTGAGACAGCGACACTCCCCAGCTCCTGGGATAGCCACAGTTCTAAGCTTTGTGAAGAGATACGCCTATGGTTTTGTGACGGGCACAGCCCTGTGCGTGTGACAAGGACAGTCCCATGCTTCCGGGAGAGGGACAGCCCTACGTTTTGTGATGGGGACATTCTTGTGCTTCAGGGGTGGGGTGGGGTCCCAGGGTTGTGGCAGACAGGCCTGTGCTGTAGCCATGAGGACAGTCTGATGCTTTGTGATGGGGCCCATACTGTGTTTTGTGACAAGGACAGTTGTCTGCTTCTGGGACAGGGACAGTCCTGTGCTCCTGTGACCACGCCTGTCTCACTCTGGGTCACGGGCAGAGAGCAGACCGAGGAGAAGCCTAGTCGAGGACCCGTGCCGTGCCGGGCAGGAGGACAGAGCCACCTGAAGGCCCCGGGGGCCACCTGGAGTCCTGCCAGGCACTTACGTGAAGGTCTGCAGGTGGGGCGATGCCTGCTCACTCCTGTGTCTCCAGACTCCGAGCCCCTCTGGGGGGGTGGGGGCCTCCGGGCCTGCCAGGTCCCGGTGCTCCCGGTGCACGGTCCGAGGCTGGGAGCTGCCTCGGGGTGGACGCATTCCCTGTGCCTGGCTGTCGCGGGAGGACGACCGTGCACGGGGCCGCTGCCCCCCGCCAGACGGGGGCATTAGAACCCACGGGCTCCCCGCTGGCGTGAGTTTTGCTTTCACACCAACAGTGCAAACGAGCACCCAGTGGACAAGTGCAGTGTGCACCCTGACGCCAGTGTGTCCTGCAAACCTTGCCCAGGAAACCCCGGAGCAGCGCCTCTCCCTCCGCGGCCCCATCCACGCCAGCCGCTCAGAAGGTCCCATCCCGTGGGAGCCGGCTCTGCCACGATGCCTCCTGCTGCGCCCTGGCTCTCAGCTCGGGGGATGTGAACCCAGACGTGTGTGCACCCCCGGGGGCCCCGCCTCACGCAAGCCTCCACTTGCTGTTTTCCAAGCAATGAGCTTTTTTTTTTTTTTTTTTTTTTTTTTTTAAGCAAAATTGAAATTAAAACTCTGTAATCTGAATGAGGGCCCGGGGAAGCTTCTCCTCCCACATGATGCACTGGTCCTAGGGGGCGTTCTCAGGGGGCGTCCCCGCTCAGCTAAGAGGCCCCGGGTCTGCGCCCCTGTGGGGCTGGCAGAGCTCCCCTGCCCCCGCCCCCAGGCACTCCCGCACGTCAGCTGCGGTGATGGGGACGCTGCCTGGGCCCCAGCGGGCCGCCTCCTCGCTGGACAGACAGGCTTGGCAGACGGCGCCTTGCGCGGGCCGGACACCTTCAGGAGTCACGGCAAGCGGCTGAGGCCCGGGGAAAACCGGTGCTGGCCTGTTTCCGAGCCGTGGTTCTCAGGGCGGAGCGAAGGCCCTCCCTCAGTGGGCTACTCTGTCACTTGGCGGGAAGACATCCCACGGCCACACCACGCCGGCTGTGCGCTGTATTTTTAGTAATGCTGGTTACATCATGAGAGCCTGCCATCTTCATGCCACGAACGGCGGGGAGCAGCCGGCCTCCCAGGCCTGGGGTCTCTGCACGGGCACAGTCCTGCGTGCTTCAGCTGATCCGTCGCCCACAGAGCAGCGCACGCCCACCTTCCCAGCTTCACAGCCACACCGCCGTGCCGATCCCACGCCGAAATCCACCAGGTTTCCCGTGGGCGGACGTCAGCTGGGAACCGAGGGCTCGGGGCAGCGCCTGCGGCCCCACAGGACAAGCGGCGCCCGGGGTACTGCAGGCCCGCGCTCTAGAACTCGATCTAGCGGTCGGCATCAAGGACCCAGAGCGGTCAGCACGCACCGCAGGAAGGCACAGGTCGCGAGTGAGAAGCATTTGCTGACAGCCTGCTGTATACGGACGTGGCACTCCACGGAGAGTCGTGGTTCCAGCTCTTCCTGCTGTGACTTGGAGGTGAGGACGGGAGGGACAGGGCAGTCGTGTGCACAGGCACAGCTTAGGCCGCTGCTAGGCGGCACGTGCGCCTATTCCAGGGACCTCTTAGACAGCTTTTCAGAGCCAGCGCGCGGCACTGCAAGTGGGCCGTGCACGGGAAGCGGAGGCTGAGGGCGCAGGGACGTGTGTGGACCTGGACAGTAAGGAGCAGCGCCATCGGCAAACCCCAGCCTACCTGGCCGAGGACAGGCGGGCGCCCGCTCCAGGGAGTGCTGCCCCCCTCCCATCACTGTCTCCCCTTTGACACAGCTGTGGAGGATGCACTCGGGGGACGCTGGCGCCTGCCGCCCGCGGGGCTAAAGGAGACGCCCAGGGAGGCCGTGGGCGAGGGGACAGGTGTGGCCTGGCAGGCTCAGGGGGACAATGTCCTCACACTGCACAGCCCCACAGTCAGGGAGTTCCTGCCGTGCACGGAGTCTGCGTGGCGGGGGCAAGCCATGAGCCACGAGCCACAGAGGACGTGGGCCTCCTGCAGCAGCCCTGAGCCCCACCCGGAGCCGCCCGGGGCCCCACTCACCTTCCCGTAGGAGCCCTGTCCCAACACCTTCAACAGCTCAAACTGGGACGGGTCGGCCTTCTCAAACCCCTCCTTCACATGGTGGCTGATGTCAATCTCCTTCACGAGCCCCTCCTCCTGCAAGACAGCAGCGGCACATGGTCAGGACACGGGGAGACCACAGCCATCCCGGCGGCACACGGTCAGGACACGGGGAGACCACAGCCATCCCGGTGGCACATGGTAGGACATGGGGAGACCACGGCCATCCCGGCGGCACATGGTCAGGACATGGGGAGACCACAGCCATCCCGGTGGCACGTGGTCAGGACACGGGGAGACTGCGGCCATCCGGCATCTGCCTTCAGGGGTCAGGACATGGGGAGACCATGGCCATCCCGGCGGCACACGGTCAGGACATGGGGAGACCATGGCCGTCCTGGAGGCACACAGTCAGGACACGGGGAGACCGCGGCCATCCTGGCGGCACACGGTCAGGACACGGGGAGACCGTGGCCATCCCGGCGGCACACGGTCAGGACATGGGGAGACCACGGCCATCCCGGCGGCACATGGTCAGGACACGGGGAGACCGTGGCCATCCCGGCTGCACACTGTCAGGACACGGGGAGACCACGGCCATCCCGGCGGCACATGGTCAGGACATTGGGTGACTACGGCCATCCCGGCGGCACGTGGTCAGGACATGGGGAGACCGTGGCCATCCCAGCATGTGCCTTCGGGGGTCATGGGCGGGGCCCTCAGCGTGGACTCCAAACACCACGGCATCCCACATGGCGTGCCTTGCAGTCGCCTGGCTGTGGGGAATGACTGCCGGGGCCTGTGTGTCCCCTGCACGCCTCTCTGGGAGGACCGGGCCCTCAAGGGCACCTAAAGGGACTCGTGACGAAACCCGCTCTGCTGCTCCCCAGACTGGGATGCGTGCAGACAGGACAACATGTGAGGACATGCTCCCCGACACAGGACAGCACGCGAGGACATGCTCCCCGACACAGGGCAGCACGTGAGGACACGCTCCCCGACACAGGACAGCACGCGAGGACACACTCCCCGACACAGGGCAGCACGCGAGGACACGCTCCCCAACGGCGGTCTCTCCCAGAAGCCGCACGTCAGGTCCCGCGTGTGCAGGTGGAGACGCGGATGTCTCGCCTCCTCCTGGGTCCCGTTTACACGGCCCTGAAGCCGCGGCCCCAGCTGGCACACACGGTGTGACCCGGCCACCGGAGGACCCATGGCAGAGGAAGGCGAGACAGGGCCGTTTGCCCCGGCAGCAGGGCTTCTCTGTCTGAGAACAGGCCCTTGTCCGTCAGCCACGACGTGGGCAGAAGTCACTGCACTTTTCCATCCCAGGGCTTCTCATCCCCGAAGCCACAGGACGTGGGCACCTGTCAGTCCAGCAGGGGGCGGGGGAACCTGGGAAGGAGGTGTTTGCTGGCGTCGCGGCCCAACCAGTCCCTGCATTATCTGTTTCTCCCTGAGAGCCCCCTCCCACCCGTGCGCCCGGCCATCCTCCCTTCCCTGTTTCTGGCTCTGGCCGGCACAGAAGGCACAGAGAGAACTGGCCAAGAGCCCTCTGCAGTCAGCTCCCCGGAGCGGCCACGCAGCCGCTGTGGGCCCCCGGGCCCCTCCCTCCCTTCAAGATGCGGAGTGCAGGCCCTGCCCCCAGCTCGGTTGCAGGCCTGGGTGAGGAGGGGGCCGGTCTCCAACCAGGGCCTGCACAGAGGCGCTTCAAACGCTCCGTGGAAATGGAACGAAGAGGGGTGCATTTTTGGTGCACTTAAGGGGTCTTCAAAAAGTTCATGGAAACGCACGCCATGCGGAAACCGCATGGATTCCACGTCTGCCCTCCAAACAAACTTGCCCTTGAATTCCATTTTCCATGGCGCTTTGGAAGCAGCGTCTTCACTTCCTGTGTGAACAAACGCTTTGGGGAGAAACTGTAACGTCACAGTTCACGGCAGACGCGGCTCCTGTCCCAGCCGGGGGAGCGGCTGAGCCGCGAGGCCCCCTCCATCCCCACCCCCACCTCACCGAGGATTGTTGGAGACTGAAATTCATGTAAACAATGAGCACAGCCTACCCCTGCTGTCTGATCCACTGTGGGACTTTCTGAACTCAGAAGAGAAGGTGTGAAGCTCCCTGCTTTGCGTCCATTACTTGGGTGATAAGCAAGCACGCCACAGCCCAGCCCATCCCAGCCCAGCCCAGCCTCAGCCCAGCCCAGCCCAGCCCTGCCCTGCCCAGCCCAGCCCAGCCCAGCCCCGGCCCGGCCATGCTCATAATGACTATCTAATCATGATCAGCATAATCATGATCAGTCTAATCCTAGCTGGATCAGCCTGGCATGCTAGAGTACCCATATAGTAATAATAATAATATTAATATTAATATTAATAATAATAATAATATAATAATTATCATATCACAATCATTATGTTCATGATTAGTAAAACATAGTATAAGTA